CTTAACTAGTCATATAAATAATATTCATCTTAGTAAGTTAACCAGAATCTCAAAAAAAAACTCGGACAAAAATACAACCTAAATTATCTATACTCTCCATAATCTTAGAGAAACCACTATTATGTGCTAAGTATTTTCCAAAAGTACTTAAAGAAAATGGCTTCTTTTAATATGCCTGCAAAAATATTGAATATATTTACCTGATAAGCCAGTTTTCTGACAGACTCTTTTACATCCTTGGTGCGCCCCACAATTTTTGGCAAAGTCTTTGCTGAGGGTGCAATGCATGATAACACTGCACGCCTAACTTCTGAATTTGAATCATTTTCAACCAAAGTAGCATATGCTAAAAATAAAGTAATACATTTTAGTACTAAAGAAATTATTTAACAAGTCTTATTTTAAATTTTTTTTAAATTACATATTTTAGTCTCACACACATAATTTTAACTGAAAATATTCTCCACCAACTTCCCTTCTTTTTTTTTTAATTTTTTTTTAATATTTATTTATTTTTTTAGTTCTCAGCAGAAACAACATCTTTGTTGGTATGTGGTGCTGAGGATCSAACACGGGCCGTACGCATGCCAGGCGAGCGCGCTACCGCTTACCCCAGCCCCCAACTTCCCTTCTAAGGACAGAACGAAAAATTAAAAATAAACTAGGTGTGCCTAAAAATAACCCTAAAAGTGAAAAGAAAATTTACTTTGTGGGCAGTTTATTTTAAACTAGTATGGCTTTATTAGGATCCATGATTTGAATTTTTAATGAATGCATGGTAAAAATAACTTCTGGTGGTCCTCACTAAAACAAAATCCATTTCTTATACTTAATTATATTTATTCTTGTACTTTTCACATTGTCCCCAGCTTCATTATCAAGTACATGTTGACTATCAAACATATATGTTTTATACAACATCATTATGCATATCATTTTACACCCCAAAATGCCAAATACTACAAGCTATCAAGCTTGATTACAAAACTGGTAACAAGGACAAGTGAATAGTTAAGCACAAAAGTGTCTAAAATATATCTAGCACATATGGAAAAGTGAAATTGACAATTTTATGACTCTAGAGGTAAAGTTTTTTTTTTAAATAAGGGATTCAAAAGTACAAATCCTAACAGAAGTTAATAATTCTGACACTAGAATTTCTGCTCAAAAAAAAGACACCTAAAGAAAAGTGAAAGAATGAGCAAAAACTGGAAGACATATGTAAATCATATAATCTAAGGATTTTCTTTTCAGAATATACAAAGAACTCCAATAAATCAATTAAAAATTGATTTTTAAATAAAAAACAGATAAATGGATAAAACACACTGACAGGCATCATATAGAAATAATAATGCTTGTGTAATGATGTTTTGGTCAATGACAGACTAAAAGCATGTGACAGTAGTCCCATAAGATTACAAAGGAGCTGAAAAATTCCAATCACCTAGTTACATCTTAGCTGTGGGTAACATCATATCATAATGCATTATTCACATGTTTGTGATGACAAATATAAATTAACATACTATACTGCCATTTATATAAAACAAAGTACATACAAGGTATAGCATTTAATACATGACACTAATAAAACACTTCTTATTGGTCTATGTACTTGTCATACTTTTTACGGTTTAGAGTATACGCCTTCCACTACTAAAAAAGTGTTTGTAGAAAAGTAATGTCATGCCATGTTGGCAGTAGTCTCATACATCTCATGTTCAGCACATCTCTTGATTGCACCAAGAAAGCACATTGAAAAATTGACCTATAGCATCCAGTTTGTATAAGTACTCTCTATGATGTTCCCACAACAACACAACCAGAAAAATCAACCTAAGAACACAAAATGTATTCCCATACTTACATGACACATGACTATATCTGGCTGCTAAATATATGAAAACATGAGCAACAATGGGATACACACACGCAAACATACACCCACATCACCACTGCATTTTAAATCTGATATTACTAAATATTGACAGGATATGGATCAATGAACACTTTCATGCTCTATTACTTGAAATATTAATTGTAAATCACTATGTAGAGTACTCATACCTTATCTAATAAAGCTGAACACACATATATTCCAAGTCCACTGTTAGGCATAAACCTTATAAAAATATTTGAACATACATACCAAAAGCTATGTAATTAAGAAAATTCATAATAACAATTTTTTTAAAAGCAAAATAATTGGAAACAATTAAAAAATACATTAAGATTAGAAATAATAAACTATTAACTCCAAACAACAGAATGCTATATAATACATTAAAAAAGTATCACATATAAACACTAAAATTAAAAATAATTTTGAAAGAAAAATATAGTATAGTTCACACAAAATGATAGACAAAACTTTACAAGAGCCACATATGATTATGTTTTTCAACTAAAAATTAAGTTTTTTTTTCAAAAAAGCAATAATAATAATTACTTCTCAGGGACAGGTATACAATTGTGAGATACAGACAGGCCGACTTCAAAGACACTGATAATGTTCTTTTTTTAAATATTTTTTTAGTTTTCAATAGTCCTTTATTTTATTTTATTTTATTTATATGTGGTGCTGAGAATCAAACACAGTGCCTCACACATGCGAGGCAAGTACTCTACCACTGAGCCACAACCCCAGCCCATGTTCTATTTTTTTAAATACATTTTTTTAAGTAGTGGTTGCTACTTGGGTGTTCTACTCTTCTGTGTGTGTGTGTGTGTGTGTGTGTGTGTGTTACATATACATATATATGTAGTTCAAAATTAAAAAAAATTACAATTGCTGAAAAATTAACAAAATCAATAAAAACTGAAAAGATTTAGGAGGTCACACATACCTTTAACCACTGGACATTCATCATCCTTGGGATCCTGAAGTCGTGAAAGAGCCAGGACTGCTTGTATTCTCACATTTGGAATTTTATCTTTTAATCTAATAAGCATGGCTTCATTAATTTTATCAAACAAATCATCATCAATCTGGGCATTTTCTGGCATACTTCCCAAAAGCTTATTTATGAGCTGGCATACTCTAAATCTGACTGCATTGCTGTTTGCTTCATGAGACTAAAATAAAAACCAATATTCCTAGTCAACATACCATTCCTAAATATTCAATGCCACCTGAAGTGACAACAGTAATTCATTATTTGCTAATAAACTATGAAGGCATTTATATATAACTATATAAAGATACTTTTTATTCAGTTTGACAGTTTGAAAAAAAAGTATTTACTAAATTACAAATTATTTGTAAGAACTTGTAAAATAGAAAACTCACTGAAAACAAGTGAGAACTGATTGAAAGAGATCATCAAACACTTGATGCTGAAGTTATTTGTAAAGCCCACCTTTTACTGTTAACCAGAGTTACTCATTCACAGATATTTTCTCAATCACCAGATATTGTCCTGACATATACAAAATTTAAAGTAAAAGTTTCTACATTACTTCCCCAAGGTGCTAGTTTTCATAAGTACCTTTAAGAGAAAAGTAAACAAATAATTTAAAATGCCACCATCTTCCTCTTCCTCATCATCTTCCAAATTGGACTGGTGAAATGAAGTAACAAATTTTGCCGCGAATTCTATTACCCTCTCCACGGCTGGTTCCCGTTTATAAACCACCATAGCATATTTAAGGTAATGAACAAACTCCTCATGAAAAACTGCTTTATCATCCATCTGAAAAACAAAAGAAACCCCTCATAAACTGCACTGATTAAGATCCTTTAACCCAACATGACCCTAATACTGAGAGCACTAGCCAAAACACAAACTAAAATCATTGGTAAGCTCAGTTATCCAAAACAGCAAAAACAAAGAAGTAAGTCTGCACCAATTTCTCTCTAAACTATAATTTGCACCTCTCAGAGTGTACACCAGAGTGACTTTTGGCAGTTAAAGAATTCTTATATTTTCTTTAAATTTTAAATTTTCATTACGCATTTAGTGTCACTGGAGTATAAACCTGCTTTTTCATGAACTCACAACCAACACTACATATTTAGCCCTTTCTATCACCTGGAAATTTCCCTTGGTAAAACTTTCACATTCTATCCCATCTCCTACTTAAAGCCCTATTATACTTCCTTACAATTTTTCTTTGATATCAAGATACCTTCTCTTCCCCAAAATCATTGTCCCTTTGCTCCCTAGGCTCCACTCAAGACACATAGTAAGGGAAGGGCTAAGTTCCGATGTCTAATGGGCATTTGACGACTGGTTCCAGCTTGGCGGTGGCAGGAGGTTGGGGCTTTTCTGCGAAACGACGGCAGAGCCACCGAGCCCACGGACGCTCGGTGCCTCGGCGCCTTCCAGGTTCACTGCAGGCTCAGGATTAATGGCCCAAACCGTCCCGGAGATCGCAGGAGAGGAGGGAAGGGTCAGTGCAGAAAAGCCAGGGCGGGTCCCCGGGTGGACAGCGCCCCCGGCGACTCGGGCAAGTGGCCTGATCACTGTAAGCCGCGGGTCACGACAGCGAATAGGGGTGGAGGCAAGATGCATCAAGTCCGCAGAGCGACAGAAGGCCCTCKGGGAGGCTGGGCGGAGGAAGGTGGGGCGCGGCGCTCAGACGCGGGCCGCTGGCAGAACAGCTTACCGTGCCGTAGGTGCGACTCAGCGCCACCACCAGTTTCGCCTGGTTCTGGTGAGGCTGCTGTGCCAGCCGAAAGGCTTCCTTAATCGGCAGCAGCCTCTTCTCCGCTCCCATAGCGCCTAGATGACCGCCGTGGGCTCCGAAACCCAGCAGTCTAGTCTCCACTGACTCCCGTAGGCCGGCCTCTGAGCGTCCAGGGCGTGGTTACCGCCAGAGCGTTCAAATAACTCCCGCGGGAKATTGAAACATCGCGAGAACGCCGCGAGGGCTTAGGATGCTTGAGCGGGAAGAAAGGAGTCCATCCACTAAGAGCCCCGCGACTTGGGCGCATGCGCCTAGGGTGTGTTTCCCCGCCCCCGCGCCCCCCGTTTTTCCCGGTAGGAAGTGGCGTTTCTAAGGACAGGAGGCGTTGGTTCGACCGGAAGTGGTGCCGTCAGGGATGTCAAGCGGAGACTTGGTGCGACGTTCGGGACAGGGCTGGTGGCGCTACGCGTTAGCGGACTCGCGTGGCTGGGCGTGAGGCGAGAAAGCAGAAAGGATCCTCCACGGTGAGAACAGGGAGTCAGCCGAGGGAACCGTCTCCGCTCCTGCGGCGGGGCAGGGAACCCGAGGAGGGATGCGTGTGGAGGTGGAGGAGGGACCGGGCGTTGGCGAAGCCGGGGCGCGGCCGGCGCTCTCCGAGAAGCCAGCCGTCCCAAGTTCCCCGGATCCCGACACCCTGCGGCCCTTGTCCCGCCCTCTGTCCTGGCCTAGGGTGCCTGGCACTTGCCACGGCGAATGGAGGCGGGACCTGTGAGGAGGAGCAGCCCGGTGTAGTCGAGCTGCCGCTGGCTCCGGGCGTGCGAGCTTTTCCGGCGTCCTTCACAAACCTGCGGGAGCTCGGTGTAGTAAACAAAGGAGATCGCAGGGAGAGAGGTCTTCGGGGTCGTGGTTAAGAGAATGAAGTCTTTAAACCTTTTTTTTTTTTTTTTAATGAAATGATCTCCAATAAAAAGGAATACCTCTGTTGAGGCTCAGGACATACCCCTCCAAAATATGTCACTAGAGAGTGCTTACTTGGCGTATTTCTGGCTGTTATATTCTGAGAAACCGCAAATCAGGATTAGTTCTTAAAACTGTCTTTGTAAAKCATCCCCATACATAACCTCTCCGCATCTTTCCTTAACTATGGCACCACCTGCTTTCCTAAAAACCCCAAGCCCCTCTTCCTTCTGTAGTTCAGGATGCCTCAGTCATCTGACCCTTCTAGTCTCAGTGTCTTGTGAGTCTTCTGTGCCTGTGTACGTTATTAAATGTGCTTTTGTTGTTGTTGTTGTTGTTGTTAATGTCTTTTTATCAGTTCCTAATCCAACCAAAGAACCTAGGACGGAAAGAAACATTTCTCCCCTACACCTCAGTAACCACTGCCAGGTGAAGAAATAGAAAGTTACAACAAAGTTGCCTGTACAACTTTTGAATTAACCTTTCCTGAAATAACAGATATTTTAAAATTTACTGTTAATTTTGATCATGCAAATTTTTATATATTAACCATATGAATAARTATCGCTGAATGAATAGACTGTAGTGATTTGGATGTTTTGAATGTTATACGAATAACTGGCTTTTGCAGTCAATATGATTTTTAAGTTTATTCATATTGATAATGTTAATAGTAACAATGTGCCAGAGAACATTAAATCATTACAAAAACCCCTGTAAGGTAATTTCAGTCTCCTTTAAGATGATGAAGCCAAGGCACAGACCATCTGCCAAAGAATAATGTTCCTCTGCTTCATGTCCCTAATTCCTGAAACTTTCAGTATTCAAGTGCTAGTTAAGTGAGTTGCCTGTAATTTTGAAATTAACATGATGTCTAAATTTAAAGAAAAGAGAGGTATTCAAATTAATCAGAGTAAAAGCATAGAGGCCTAAAAATGCACAGATTATAAGGAGAGCATAGATAATCTCACTATAACTAAAAGGCAGAATACTTAGAAAGCTGTGGTAAAAGAAACCTAGAAAAGGCATTAATTTTTTAACCAGGTATACTCAATTTTATTACAACATGTCATCAATATAAATGATTGAGATAACTTACATTTTTTTCTAAGTCTTTGAAATTGGGTACTATTTTACTGTAACCACATTTCAGGCACTGAGTAGGCCCATGGAGCTAGTGGTACAGGGCTAGTGGCTACAGTAGTGAACTGCACAGAACTCTTCCTTTACTTTAGGGGAACTAGTTCATACACCATTTTTTTTTAATGTAACATTAACTGATAAACCATTAGAACAAACTAATATTTGGTGACATTTTACTTATTTTGATGACTTTAATTGTACCCCTCTCTTTGTGTTTGGGTGCTTGCTACCTTTGTTATTTTGTAAAGTTTCTAATTGTATTATGTAGTACATTTTATTTGACTATCTCACCATCAATGAGAGACTTCATAATGTTTTGTTAGTTACTAAAGGATGAGGCATCTGGCCACCAGAGGTCAGCCTGTTTTCATTTTTTTTTTTTTTTTTATGATTAGTGCCATGCTTTTGTTCAGTATTTTTTGAAAATTATAATCTGAAAATTTTTTAAAGATGCTAGATTAAATTTAAACATCACAGTCTTACCACTCTAAAGTTTACATGGGTTTTGCCTTGTTTTTAGTGCTGTGGAAGAGAACAAATAATAACAACTATGGGAATTTCTTCCTGTCCTTGGTAAAGTTAGTTTGACTAAAAAAATAACAAACACTAAGAAAAGATGTGTATTAAAGGTATCAATTACCAATATTTCTTTAAAGGTAAATTGTACGTGGAAATGTATAAAGTACATTCCGTTTTTTTTTTTTATTTTTTTATTAGTTGCTCAAAACATTACAATGATCTTGACATCATACATTTGATTCAAATGGGGTACGTAATCTTAATCTTATTTTTCCACGTGTACAGATTGCAGGATCATATTGGTTATACAGCCACGTTTATACATAGGGTCATACTAGTGTCTATTGTATTGTGCTGCCCTTCCTATCCCCCCTCCCCTCCCCTTCCCTCTTCTCTTTCTACCCAATCTACTGTGACACGTTTCTCTCTCTTTTTTCTTCCCCCTCACACCATCTTATATGTAGTTTTGCATAACCATGAGGCTCTCCTACCATCTTCCCTGCAATTCCCCTTCTCCCATTCCCAGGCACCTCTCGTCCCTATTTAATGGTAATCTTCTTTTCATGCTCTTCCTCCCTGCTCTGTTTTGAATCGCCCCCCTTATATCAAAGAAGACATTCTGCATTTGTTTTTTAGGAATTGGCTACCTTCACTTAGCATAATCTGCTCTAATGTCATCCATTTCCCTGCAAATACCATGATTTTGTTGTTTTTTAGTGCTGAGTAATATTCCATTGTGTATAAATGCTACATTTTTTTTTATCGATTCATCTATTGAAGGGCATCTGGGTTGGTTCCACAGTCTAGCTATTGTGAATTGTGCTGCTGTGAACATTGATGTAGCTGTGTCCCTGTTGTATGCTCTTTTTAGGTCTTTTGGGTATAGTCCGAGAAGGGGAATAGCTGGGTCAAATGGTGGTTCCATTCCCAGCTTTCCAAGGAATCTCCATACTGCTTTCCAAATTGGCTGAACTAATTTGCAGTCCCACCAGCAATGTTAGAGTACATTCAGTTTTGATATGTGTTTTAGTCAGCTCTATCGTCACCATAACCAAAAGACCTGACAAGAATAGTTTGAAAAGAGGAAAAGTTTAGTTTGCACTCAAGGTTTCAGAGGTCTCAGTCCATAGGCAGCTGACTCCATAGCTCTGGGCCCAAGGTGAAGCAGCACATCAAGGCAGAATGGCGTGACAGAGGAAAGCAGCTTAGGAAATGGTGATCAGAAAGCACAGATCTCAGCTCACCGGGGACAAAATTATAAATCCCCAAGGCATGCCCCTAGTGAACCACCTCCTCCAGCCATACCTTCCCTACCTTTCTACAATTATTGATATCAGTGGGTTAATGCACTGGTTATGTTAARGCTCTTATAACCCAATCATTTCGTCTCTAAATTTTCTTGCATTGTCTCACACATGAGCTTTTGGGGGAATACTTTGAATCAAACATAACATTCTGCCCCTGGCCCCTAGAAGCTCATGCACATCTCAGTGCAAAATGTGTTTATAGTCTATTTTTTAAGGCTTAAGGATCAGCCATGCATTATGGTGCAAACCTGTAATCCCAGTGGCTTGGGAGGCTGAGACAGAAGGWTTGTGAGTTCAAAGCCAAACCCAGCAAAAGCAAGGTGCTAAGCAACTCAGTGAGACCTTCTCTCTAAATAAAATACAAAATAGGGCTGGGGATGTGGCTCAGTAGTCAGATGCCCCTGAGTTGAATCAGATAACAAAAGAAGGAGAAAAAAAAAAAGAAAAGAATCTTAACGATTCCACCATTTCCCAAAAGTCTAAGTCCAAAGTCGTCTCTGAAACTCAAGACAAACTCTCAGCATGAGCCCTAGGAAAACTGAAAAGCAGGTTACATACATTGAACATATAATGGCATAGAATAAACAATGTGGAAAAATTTTGTACATGGACTGTTAAGGATAACAGTAATGGGTTCCTTGTTAGGTCTAGGATTTAGGTATGCCTTCACATAGACTTTTTCTGCCTTTTTGCTGATTTCAAAAGTGGAGTAACCCATTTTTTAGAATGTTTTGAGTAATAACTGAAGTGTACCCAAATAATTTTATAGATGCAATCTGCTTGAAATGAAAACAGTAAAAATAAAAGCACAAAGAACAATTAAAACCCTTCTCTAGTCTCAATAAAGTTAAGACAACAGTATGTGACAGATGTTAATATTCATTTCAGATTGAACTAGGTAATAATACATAGATTTAAAAGGTTTTTATACCCAGTGACCCAGGAAACTGAGGCAGGAGGATCACAAGTTCAAAGCCAGTCTAAGCAACTTGGTGAGATCCTGTCTGAAAATAAAAACTAAAATGTGCTGGGGATGTGGCTCAGTAGTTAAGCACACCTGGGATCAATTCCCATTACCTCCCCCCCCCCAAAAAGTATTTATATTCATGTTTCTTAAAGTTATAAGGAGTTGCCTTTGTTTTGCTGTAGTAGCATCATATTTGTTGATCTTGCTCTTTAGGTTTGTTTCTTGTATACTGTATTACTAAATCACCAAAATACAACTTGGGGGTTTTTCTCTCTCAAGAATAAAACAACATTTCTGTGGTTATTTACTTCAGATCCTAGTCATTCCCTCATTAATTTTTTTTTTTTTTTTGAGATAGGGTTTCACTGAGTTGCTGAGGATTTTGATAATTGTGCTGAGGATGGCCTCAAACTTGGGATACTCCTGCCTTAGCCTTCTGGGTTGTTGGAATTACAGGCATATACCACAGTACCTGACTTTTATTAATTCTTTCAAACAACATTTATTGAGCCCTTAATATATGCTAGACACTGTGCTGAGAACTGAAGCATATAAAAAAATTATTAATTAAAGCCATACCATATGACCATGTTAGCACAACTCAGTGTGTTTGAAACTATAGATATTCACTGACTTTTATTTTGTATACTACCCCTTCAGAATAATACAAATGAGATCTTGATAATGTTTCTTGATTTTCTTTCATTTAGTACTATACCCTTAAAGTCCATCTGTGTTGTTACATATATTTCTAGCTATGCATATTTCTAATGTGCTTCTACTGCATTTTATCTATCCTCTCTAGTGATGAAAACTTAGAATATATCTAATTCCTTATCACTGATAGAGCTTCAGAGTATATCCTAATGCTTGTTGGTCTTAAGGAAAATTTATTTGCTATATACCCAAAAGTAGAGTTGCTGGATCATGAGCTGTACAGTTAATTTGGCTAAATATTACTGCCAGATTTCTTTTCAGAATGGTTATACCAATATACAATCCCACCAACAGTGCCACTTCTTACAGGGAACTCACTAACACTTTATGTTATCTAGCCTTCTAATTTTCACCAAACTAATAGCATAATGTTATCATATGATTAATCCATTTGGATTTTCTCTTCTGTTAATTGGATATTCTTGTCTTTTGCCCATTTTTTAAATTGAATTTGCTACTAGTTTGTTTTGTGTTTTTCCCCTCTTCTTCCTTTGCCATGCTAGAGATCAGACCCAGGGCCTCAAGTATGCTAGACAAGCACTCTACCACTGAGCTCTGGGCTAAAGCCCCAACCCTTTTTAAAAAATTAATTTGTAATTAATGTTGTCTTTGATATCTTTAGTTAACTCCAGGTATTATTGATTCTGGTGATTGAATTAATCATTGTTTGGTCCTGTGCTCTATGCTATTTTGTTTGTTTTCCCTGACTGTATTAGCTTTATGTCACCATGACCAAAATATCTTGACAATAACAACTTAAAAGAGGAAAGATTTTTGTGGGGGCGGGGGCGCTACAGTTACAGAGGTTTCAGTATGTAGCTGGCTGGCATCCTTTCTTTGGGCCTGAAGTGAGGCATGAGGCAGAACATTATGTAGAAGAGTATAGCAGAAGGAAGCTGCTCAGTTCCTGGCAATCAGGAAGCAGAGGGACAGAGAGAACAGGCTAGAAACAAGATATAGTACCCATGGTATGTCCTACTGAACTACTTCCTCCAGCCCTGTCCCACCTGCCTGCAGTTTTCATCCTCTCCCAGTAGTCCATTCAGCTACCAGTGGATTAATCCACTGATGAGGTGAGAGCCCTTGTGATTCAGTCATTTCCCAAAAGCCCACCTTTGAGCATTGCTGCGCAGACAACCAAGCCTTCAACACATGAAATTTTGGTAGAATTTTCAGATGCAAACCATAACATCAGCCTCCAATCACAAAAGTATTCTCATCTATTATATTTGATTAACTATATGGTTTTACCATCCTCATTTAGGTTTTATCCTCCTATACACCTGGCATTATATAGGTGTACAGTTTTATTTTTCTTCATTTGAGCCACTTGTACCAATAAATGTGCTAAAATGCATCCATTTCCCCCTTGAATTTATGTACCRCTCTTATACTGTATTCCCAAATTATATGTGACTGTGTTCTGTTTTATTGAATTATGTCTGATCTTACATTCCATCCTATTTTAATTTTTCAGATTTTTATAATTAATAGTTTGAAGATTAAGAACGCCCTTTACTAGCAGAAAGTTCTGTAGTGTTGAGGGAAGAGGTCTAGGAGGGATGAGGGGAAAAGGGGAAGTACTGAGGACTGAATTAGAGCAAATTATATTCCATGCTTTTGTAGTTATGTCAAATGATTCCTAATTTTATATATAAAACTAAAAAAAGAACTTTAAAAAAAAAAAAAACTTTTCTCCTCTGTTTACTGCTTTGGCCATGTGTGAAGTTTTATTCTTTCTATATAAACATTGAAGTTCATTTTTATTAAGTTCCTCAAAAGTTTGTCCAGAGTTGTATAAATTAAAGTTAGTATCTTTGTAGCATTTATTTATTTCATCTCCAAGAGCATGGAATATTTCTATTTCTATGTCTTACTTGGTCTTATATATTATTAACTAGTCCTTATGTCCTTTATAAATTTGGAGACAYTTGTTTTTCCTACTGTTAAATGTACTATATAATATATTTTTTGTTAATGTTGCTGATGTTGAAATTAATAGTGTAAATTAATAGTTTTATGGATTCTTTTCCAATTCCTGCACCTGTCATTTATTTATAACATTAACTAGCATTTTCAGTACCATGTCAGACAGTATCATTCATACTCTGATTTCACTTTTTAAAGGAATATATCTCATTTGGGATCATATTTGCTTATAGTTTTTGGTAAGTAAACTTTAATCTTTTTTTCCCTTTCACTTTTGGAAACTTAAATTTATAAATTTCTAAAGTTGAATTCTTCTTTCTTTCCCAGAAAAGCTCTACTTATAACATTCTTTTTATTTTCTTTAAGGTRCTGTTAGATTATGTTAAGTAATAGAGTTTTAGAAAATGCATTGAGCCTATGCTTTTTATATTTCATATGTCTCTAGATTTGAAGTTAATTTTTTTATTCTCATAAAAGAAATTAGTCAGTTTTCATGCTGTTTTTCTTTTTCTGGAACAGCTTATATAAGATTGTTCGTATGACTCAGTCTCTGAGACCACATCAAGAGTTCCAACATCTAGCAGCTCTATCACCAGGACAGACCCTCTAAAACTAATCCTAACAAGTACATCTAAAGGTAAAGAGATAAACTCTCAGTTTGGGCTTTGGGGCATAAGGGATCTGTTTTTTTCAGAAGTAATTTTCTATGTGAGAACTGTATTCTTAAAAACAAACTGGACTAGTTTTGTTCCAACAAAGTATTAAAATGTCCCCAAGCTCTTTCCTAATTTTGTGATTATAAGAGTTCCCAACAGGAAAATCGGCTTAAGCCTATGACGTAGAGAGGAGAAAATCAACTAGGCTTTTTTGCTTAGCATTCATTTTCTTGGTTTTGTGTAAAGTTAGATGGGTGGTAATGTTACTTAATGCCTTCAGACTTTAATATCAAGTCTCTAGTTTTCTCCTTCACAGGTTAAGGCTACTTTTCCAKATAGTCCAACCACTAAGTCAGGAGTTTCCAAGGGCATTTACCTCACCTGTGGAAAACTTCAGATCCTTGCCTATCAGATGTTCTTGACAACTCATCCCATCATCCCCATTCTACATAAGTTTCCATACCAGCGGACAACCAAGACAACTGCTGAGCTTTTTATTACCAAGTAGATTTAATGTCACTGCCAACAAAACGGAGTGGACAAAGTGTCTCTTGATAATATCACTACCCGTTGAAACTACGCCAAGAAAATCAGCATGCCTAGTTGAGGACCCTTCTCTTCTTGGGTAGTCAGGATTTGAAGGAGATACTCTGACGTGTGCCACTGGTAAGTGACTAACAATTTTACTCGCTGAACTGGTCCTGAGACTAAGATGTCTACCTTGTAAGTGAAGAATATACATCATAATCTTGAAGAACTGCACAGTGGTGTAGGCCAGAGGCATACTCTGTGTGTATAATGGACTGACAAATTAATCTTGGTGAAAAGATTTGTCATCTTATTTCTATTCGCCAGTGTTAGTCATTGTTCTGCTGGCTTAGATTGTTAACCTTTTTCTGGTTTCTTACTTTTTTCTTAATGGGTCCCAGAAATCCCTCTCCTGACCCTTTGTCAGAATCAGAAAGTGAGGAAGAAGAAAACATTAGCTACCTAAATGAGAGTTCTGGAGAAGAGTGGGATTCCTCAGAAGAAGACGACCCCAAGGTGCCCAACCTAACACCTCTTGAGAGTCTTGCCTGGCAGGTTAAGTGCCTTTTAAAATATTCTACAACTTGGAAACCTTTAAATCCTAATTCCTGGTTGTATCATGCTAAACTCTTGGATCCAAGTACACCAGTTCATATACTTCGAGAGATAGGTCTAAGACTCTCCCATTGTTCCCATTGTGTCCCCAAACTGGAACCAATTCCTGAATGGCCCCCTTTAGCCTCTTGTGGAGTCCCACCTTTTCAAAAGCCCCTTACAAGTTCCAGCAGGCTTTCTAGAGATCATGCCTCTTTAAATGGAGCACTGCAGTTTGCTACCAAACAGTTAAGCCGAACATTGAGCAGAGCTACTCCCATACCTGAATACTTAAAACAAAATCCTAATTCATGTGTTTCTGGTTGTTGCTGTGGCTGGCTAACTAAAACAGTAAAGGAAACCACCCGCACCGAACCCATCAACACTACTTATTCCTACACTGACTTCCAAAAGGCAGTTAACAAACTCCTAACTGCTTCATTATAAAGATTACCGTTCACCCTGATATCTCTGATGTTGCTATTTGAAGTGGGAGTCCAAAATTAATTACTACACAGGCTATAGCTGAGAAAGAAATGCCTTCTCAACCAAATTGCCATGTCCTAACAAGCTAAAGCACCCAAGGGCCCTGTATTTCAGCTATACAAAATATGTGTGGTAAGCATACCTTCTGACAAACCCTAGAGATAAAATGAGAACTTCAGTAAAGAATTAGTCAAAAGAAAACATATTTTAAAAGCTAACTTGAATATTCTCCACAATTAGTATTCACCCTACTTCATTTTGTTCTGCCTGCCTGAATGTACTTGTTAGATGTCTGGTTATTAATGGATAGGAAAAAATAAACCATCACCCTTTTGTTACTGAATCAACAGAACAGACTGGTGGGATTCAACCACCAGAAAGCAAGAAATTAGCTACTCCCACTAAAATCTTTTCAAGTATGATCTTCTCAACATTCATTTCTACAGCAGTAGTTAAAGTGAGTAATTACATGAGCAAAAGTGATAGGAATGTGGATTTTTCTCTCAGGTTTTATATCGATATACCTTTTGGGGTTCCTGTTTTTTATGGGGAGTGTATTTTCAAAATTAACCTACGAACTCTAAACCTATTAAGGTATCTGCATTTACAACTTGAACATTCTATATCATAGGCTTTTACCAGGCTTTCTGTGTCTAAATTGGCCCATAATATCATCCCTTGAATTATAACAGTCCACTATTCTGTAGGGAGTATGTTTCCTGAATCTTGGCACTCAGACTTTTGTCATGCGCAAATAAAATATATTCAAAAAAGATAAAAAGGATTAAGAGAGAATATGGTTTCACTATCAACTGGTAAAAGATTAAAACATTTCAACTGTATTACATTTCATGGAGCAGAAATTTATGCCCTTTCCACATCCATTGCAAACATTTCAAAAACCCTTCTAATATTAATGAATCAGCCTAACACATCTGAAATTAAGCATTTTAGCAGCATTTTTTAAGTAGATTAACTTCTGATTTTCTTCTGACTGAATAAGAGTATATGCCTTTGAGTACATTGCCTATGATTCTACTATGAGCCAAAACATAGAGATCAACAAAAATAAAATGCATGAGACCATTAAATTTTTTGACATATCCTACAATAAAAAGTGAAATTTGTGTGTCATTGTGGATAACTGGGCATCTAAAGGGAATCATAAAACATATTGTTAAAAATGTATCATATATTCTCTTTATTTTAGTTTTGCTTTTTCTTGTTCTCCATAATTGCTATGTACAAGGTTGAATAAAAAAAATAAAGCAGTGATGCAATCACAAATTTTGTAAATATATAAAAGCTTAAGGAGAGCGAACAATGTTTATAACCTAATAAGTATTTCTACTGAGCTTTAGTTATCCTGTCTTAAGGGGGAAAATAAGAGTATTATAGTAAGTAGGGGAAAAAAAAACTTGTTCATGGTAATTATTGACCTGGACCTATATCATACTGTTAGTATAACTGAATGTATCAGAAACTGTTCCTATATAGATGTTCTGTGAAATTGGTTTTTAAAACGTTACAAAATCTGTTTTCCTTTTTTTTAGGGGTAAAGATTGGAGGAGGTAGGAAAGAAATCTGAAAATTAAAATGTGTTGTTTATGTATCCATAACATGTTTGTGTGTGTGTGTGTGTGTGTGTGTGTGTGTGTGTGTAAAAGTGCCTTGCTTGTGAATGCATTTTTGCTATTCACTCCAAAAAGGAAGCCTTTTTCCACCTTGGCAGCTGAATAAACAAACATCTTTGTACATGCGGAACAGAGTATGGTCATTTATCCTCCACAAATGAAATGTATCCTGCTTGGCATAAGGCATATTCAACATTAAATAAGTATTGAATGCAGTTAGTAGACAGATTTATCTATATCTATGTAGTATCTGACAAGGTGTCTTGGCATCTTTAGAGAAGAACACACTTGAAGAAGAAAACATCTCATTCAGGCAAGACTCAAATTTGAACTCATTTGTTTCTTTATTTTAAGTAATCCCAGGTTGTACAAAATAATAAGTACCTGAATAAGCCTTAAGCCTTTGCTTCCTTTTATGTGTCAGATTTGACGTTGGAGACAAATGTACCACTTTTACATTCTCCGTGTGGGCCTCTGATTGAATGTAGTCACCATAATTAGGGTAAAGAAAGACAAATTTTTCACTCTTTATAGTAATAGTTATCAAAGAAGAGAGGAAACAGGGTTTCTAAACCAGTGAATGTTAATAAATTATTTAAAGGTGTTCTCTCTCAGTGCAGAGGTAGCCTTTATGTTGAAGTAGTCCAGATACCTTGAACTTTGTCTTTTGGTCCCATCTGCTTCCTAAGAAAGGGGCGGGGGGGGGGAACCATGCATGGCGGGAGGCAGACAGATGGTAGGTCTTCTCCAAGGGATTTTTCTCTTGGGAAAACTGTTCTGATATTAGATTGTTAAGTAGTTAAGGATCTTAGAAGTCACTTGGGTTATTTTCTTACTGACACATAAATTGTCTTATATGTTTGATAACTAGCTTTCTACTTTTTGCTCCAGTGTTAGAGAATGAAATGTCTTTTAGAGCATACCATTAGTTTTTAAAATATCTTATAAGAAATATAGTGACTACTATTATTAAGGAGTGCCTACTATGGACTAGACACTGGGAATGCAAAATATATGAACCAACATACATCATTCCATGCCTTTTCTCTGGGGTCCCACTAAAGAAGCCTAAGCCCCTAATCCATAAACAGGCTCTTCAAATATTTGAAAATGGCTTATGGTTGGAGATCACATGAAGAAATTAAATGGAGCAGCCATCCAAGTGTCATGGAGATTTCATGTGTCAACAAATCAACTCCACAAGGAATAGGCAAAAGAAGCAATAAAATGCAGATTTAAACTGTATATGCCAAGTACACAAAGCAAAAACACACAGATATCAAGCTAGAAGCATTTTCCTTAGGTGGCTAGGGTATATGGAAAAGTCTGGATAAACTCAGAACTCATGGAACAACTTTGTATATGCTTTTGGCATAGTGGTGCACCAAGGAATAGTGTCAGTTATACTTAGGGAAACTAAGGGAGCTACATGAACAGGCATCAGCTAACTGGTATTTTTTATGGGTCAACTTGCTGTTGCCAAAAGAAAATGCTTGTATCTTTGGCAATTTCAATAATGGCTACATGTTCAAGTCTGATAATTTTAAGTAGTCTGCTGAGCTCTTCCTTTTAATTAACTGGCACGGAGATTATCTACTCGGGAGCAAGATAAGTAAAGGGACAAGAAAARGATATCTGACACTTGCCAGATAGAAGTGACCAGCACTTCTCAATGTGGGAAATGAATGCCTGATTTTTATTTCTCTTTTTTTTTTCATTTGCACAAGTTTTCTTTTTTTTAAGGGCAAGTTTCTTTTTTTATTGGTTGTTCAAAACATTACAAAGCTCTTGACATATCATATTTCATACATTAGATTCAAGTGGGTTATGAACTCCCGTTTTTACCCCAAATACAGATTGCAGAATCACATTGGTTACACATCCACATTTTTACATAATGCCATATTAGTAACTGTTGTATTCTGCTACCTTTCC